AAAAAAAAAAACAAAAAAAAAAAAAAAAAAAAAAAAAAAAAAAAAAAAAAAAATCATCATTGGTCGAGGGTCAAATCCACTGAGGATCACGGTGTGATTCCAGCTCCCACAGATGAACACTGTCGTTGTGTCCTTGGGCAAAACACTTTACCCACCTCGGCCCCTGTGTGTGTGGACTAAAACCAGGACTAAACCACTAAACCAGGGTCTACTTAAACCAGGTCTAAACCAGGTCTAAACCAGGTCTAACCAGGACTAAACCAGGACTAAACCAGGTCTAAACCAGGTCTAAACCACTAAAACCAGGTCTAAACCAGGTCTAAAACCAGGTCTAAACCAGGACTAAACCAGGTCTAAACCAGGACTAAACCAGGTCTAAAAAACCAGGTCTAAACCAGGTCTAAACCAGGTCTAAACCTCTAAACCAGGTCTAAACCAGGACTAAACCAGGTCTAAACCAGGTCTAAACCAGGTCTAAACCAGGTCTAAACCAGGACTAAACCAGGACTAAACCAGGGTCTAAACCAGGTCTAAACCAGGTCTCTAAACCAGGACTAAACCAGGTCTAAACCAGGTCTAAACCACTAAACCAGGACTAAACCAGGTCTAAACCAGGACTAAACCAGGGAAACCAGGTCTAAACCAGGTCTTAAACCAGGTCTAAACCAGGACTAAACCACTAAACCAGGTCTAAACCAGGTCTAAACCAGGTCTAAACCAGGTCTAAACCAGGACTAAACCAGGACTAAACCAGGTCTAAACCAGGACTAAACCAGGACTAAACCAGGTCTTAAACCAGGTCTAAACCAGGACTAAACCAGGAGTCTAAACCAGGTCTAAAACCAGGTCTAAACCAGGACTAAACCAGGTCTAAAAACCAGGACTAAACCAGGACTAAACCAGGTCTAAACCAGGTCTAAACCAGGTCTAAACCAGGACTAAACCAGGACTAAACCAGGACTAAACCAGGACTAAACCAGGTCTAAACCAGGACTAAACCAGGTCTAAACCAGGTCTAAACCAGGACTAAACCAGGACTAAACCAGGACTAAAACCAGGTCTAAACCAGGTCTAAACCAGGACTAAACCAGGTCTAAACCAGGACTAAACCAGGACTAAACCAGGACTAAACCAGGTCTAAACCAGGTCTAAACCAGGTCTAAACCAGGACTAAACCAGGACTAAACCAGGTCTAAACCAGGTCTAAACCAGGACTAAACCAGGACTAAACCAGGACTAAACAGGTCTAAACCAGGACTAAACCAGGTCTAAACCAGGTCTAAACCAGGTCTAAAACCAGGACTAAACCAGGACTAAACCAGGGTCTAAACCAGGTCTAAACCAGGTCTCTAAACCAGGACTAAACCAGGTCTAAACCAGGTCTAAACCAGGAGGACTAAACCAGGGTCTAAAACCAGGTCTAAACCAGGTCTAAACCAGGACTAAACCAGGTCTAAACCAGGTCTAAAACCAGGACTAAAACCAGGACTAAACCAGGACTAAACCAGGTCTAAACCAGGTCTAAACCAGGTCTAAACCAGGACTAAACCAGGACTAAACCCTAAACCAGGTCTAAACCAGGTCTAAACCAGGTCTAAACCAGGTCTAAAACCAGGACTAAACCAGGTCTAAACCAGGTCTAAACCAGGTCTAAACCAGGTCTCTAAACCAGGTCTAAACCAGGTCTAAACCAGGTCTAAACCAGGAACTAAACCAGGTCTAAACCAGGACTAAACCAGGACTAAACCAGGTCTAAACCAGGACTAAAACTAGATCGAAACCAGGTCTAAACCAGGTCTAAACCAGGTCTAAACCAGGACTAAACCAGGACTAAACCAGGTCTAAACCAGGTCTAAACCAGGTCTAAACCAGGTCTAAACCAGGTCTAAACCAGGTCTGTTGTTGGTCCCTGTGTGTGTGGCAGAGTGGTTATCGCGTCTTCTTGCGGTGAGGAGGTTGTGGGTTAGATTCTCAGTCTCAGCTGTTGTTGTTGTTCTTCAGGACGGTGGACGTCCCTGAAGACTCTAAAAATAAACGTCTCGTTAAAGCTCGACCACAGGAGAAGAGTCAGGACAAAGTCCGACAGGGACCGACAGGGACCGACAGGGACCGACAGGGACCGACAGGGACCGACAGGGACCGACAGGGACCGACAGGGACAGGGCTCGTTTACGTGAACACTGGGAATTTTAAAAAACAGAGACATTTCCCTTTGTGTTTACTACAGATGTAACAATAACCAAAATATCGTGATATCGTATCGTCAAAGTTCTCACAATAATATCGTGGATCATCACAATATTTCGAATTACAAGTCTGTTTGTTTAAATGAAGAGTTTTGGTGCAGCAATAGCGCCAAAAACCACAGAGGAACTACATAGACCATGATCCTTTGCTCCATTTCAGTGCAGACGACAAGAAGAAATAACAGTTCCAACACTTTTAACTCTTAGTTCTTTGGGTTAAGTTTTGTCAAGGAATTTTAAAAGGAAAATGAAACATCCTGACAGTTTTAGCTCTTCAGCCTCCACAAAATATCACAATAAATATCGTATCGTGAGATGTACATCGTGAAAATATCGCACATAGAGATTTGGATATTGTTACATTCCTAATCGTGAAACTTCCCAACATATCGCAAACTTTCCCTCGATATTGGAATAAATATCGTACAGTGAGGTTCATACTGTGACGATATCGTATCGTGAGACGTGGATATCGTTACAGCCCCTTATGCAGGGGTGTCAAACATACGGCCCATGGGCCAGATCCGGCCCTCCAACACCTTTAATCTGGCCCTCGGCTGATTTTCTACTAAAATATTGTAATAATATTTTCTATTAAAATCTTGTTAATTTTCTGTGGTGTTTATCACAGCAGCGTCTCCAGTGTCTCTGTACGTGGCCCCTCCCACCAGAGCAGCACAAATGAAGACTTGTCTCTTTTCCAAACGCTCTTAAAGGACGATCGTTTTGACTGTTGACCGTGACACCCTCATCAGAAAAATGTCCAACATGAGAAAAGTGGAGCCGAGTGCAGGATTTTACAACAAAAATGGACTTATTCCTGTTTACAGACAAGTTAAAGTTAAAACTTTGTGTTGAAATTGTATTTTTCTTAAAGTTTCAGGTTGTTCATAATATTATAATATTTTGTAAAAGAAAGAGTTCATCAATTAAAAAAGATTTCTGTAATAGATTTGTGTTTCTCTGCACAAATATTTGAACTTATTGTTATTTTTGGGGTTTATATGACATGAGTTTTCTGATCCGGACACTTTGGGATTAAAGTCGGTTGGATACGACCCTGGAACAAAATGAGTTTGACTCTCCTGCTCTAGTGTGAACTCGTCTTTTACACACAAACGGCAGATTTACTTCTGAAAATGAATCTTTGTAAAAACACCAGCTCGAGTGAAGATTGTGTAAAACTCTGGTTTAGTGTTTGTGTGTAAAGTGAAAGAAACAGAGTTTTAGGAGTCAAAAGTGTTTCCCTTTTGCTCTGATGACGATGACGACGACGTTGACAGTGACGACGACGTTGACAGTGACGACGACGATGACGATGACGACGACATTGACAGTGACGACGACATTGACAGTGACGACGACATTGACAGTGACGACGACATTGACAGTGACGACGACGACATGACAGTGACGACGACATTGACAGTGACGACGACGACGACGTTGACAGTGACGATGACGTTGACAGTGACGACAATGATGATGATGACGACGACATTGACAGTGACGATGACGACATTGACAGTGACGACGACATTGACAGTGACGACGACATTGACAGTGACGACGACATTGACAGTGACGACGACGGCGACGTTGACAGTGACGACGACGTTGACAGTGACAATGACGATGATGACGACGACGTTGACAGTGACGACGACGACGACGTTGACAGTGACGACGACGTTGACAGTGACAGTGACGATGACGACGACGTCGTTGACAGTGACGACGACGACGACGACGACAGTGACGACGACGGCATTGACAGTGACGATGACGATGACGACGACGTTGACAGTGACGACGACGACGACGACGACAGTGACGACGATGACAGTGACGACGACGACGACAGTGACGACGACGACAGTGACGACAGTGACGATGTTGATGTTGATGTTGATGATGATGAAGCGTCAGGGCAGCAGTCGTGTTTCTTCCTGGTGAAACACTTTTTATGTGTTTCATGAGCAGAGACACATGAGGCTCGGAGCTCAGTGATTATATTATTATATATTATATTATTATAATTGTTTATTTTGTTTATTTGTTGTTCAGGAAGGAACAGGAAGTGACTCTTTGTTGTTGTTGTTGAAATGAGGATTCTGATTGGCTGGCAGAGCTTTCTCCTTCTTCCTACATCGCCGCCCACAGTCATGTAGTTATGACGGCGCTCGATGGAGGATTTATGCAGGTCGATGTAAACAAAAAACTTTCTGAAAAC